GTTAGGGGCCTTGGGGTCGACCTCTGTCCCCCTGCCAATACAGACTGCGTACGGTCGGTGAGGAAGGAGGAGAACCACCGCATCACAGTGCCTCCCACTCCCAACCCACCCAACCGCCGCAGCATGATACTGTGGTCCACAGTATCAAAAGCCGCTGAGAGGTCCAAAAGAACAAGGACAGAGGAATAACCCCTGTCCCTGTCACTATCTATGGTAAGGAATAGGTGTTTAGGAATTAAATAGATGTTCTTTAAGGCATGGGTGTTTTTTTTATTATTATTATTATTATTATTATTATTATTATTATTATTGTTGTTGTTGTTGTTGTTGTTGTTGTTGTTTTGTTTTATTTTCCCATTTTTTAAAATATAGTTTCCCATCAAGTTTTTCTTTCTTTTTCATTTTTTCTTTAAATTATGAAGAATGTATGTGCTTTTCATTGTTCAGTCATAGCAATTTCACTTAAACTTATATATTGCTTCACAGCGCTTTACAGCCTAATCTCTAAATAGTTTACAGAGTCAGCATATTGTCCCCAACATTCTGGATCCTCATTTTATGGACCTCAGAAGGATGAAAGGCTGAGTCAACCTTGAGCTGGTAAGACTTGAACGGGCGAACTGCTGGCAGCCCACAATCAGCAGAAGTAGCCTGCAGTACTGCATTCTAACAACTGTTCCACCACGGCTCATAAGGAGAAACTCATAGGAGAAATGAGTATAACTATAAACTGTGTTAATTGTTGGCAAGGAATTTTCATGTGGGAATATTGTCCCTTCTGAGATACCCTTTTTTTTTTAGATTGTGGAATGTATGATACCTTTGTATAGAATGTATAATAATAAATAAGCCAATATGTTGGTTTGGAAAAAAACACTGGACTTGATTTTGTTCACTTAACAGAAATATAAATAAATGGACTTAGAGTTGGGGATATTATTCAGTCCCTACCTTAATGTTTATTTTGAAAGGTAAGGTAAGTGCAATCCTTCTGGTCATTTCCTGCAAGAACATTCAAGTAAATTCTTCTGCCTTGAAAAATATTCCTGATTATTTCTTGAACAGTGAGCAATTCTAAACCTAAGTACATTTCCATTTTATTAATGGCTACAATTAATTAATAGGAAAATGCTAATGATTCAGAAAATCTGTACCTCTCAAATATTAATGGAATGCCAATGTATGTCACTTTTTAAAATAAAAAAAAAAGTTCTATATTAATATAGCAAAACTTTACAGAACTTTCTAGGGCATGTTCCAATTCAGCTGATCAATTAAACTTTGGACACTTTGGAAATAATTCTAAGTAATGATAGCTAAAGTAACATTCAGAGAATTTATTCCTTTTTTTTAATTTTAGGAACCTCAATGAGCTTTAAGAAAATTCCAAGTTTTCCAAGAATACAACTTGATAACTGCCTCAGGAATAAACTATACTAGGTAGATTCTTCATTTTCCTGTTTAACGTAGAGCTTAAGGTCAACATGTTCTCAAATTTTATTAGTTATAACTTTGCATCTTAAGACATCTGCCCACAAATTATTCATGATTGTGTGTGTGTGTGTGTGTGTTGTACATATGTGCATGTAAAAGGGAGCCAAACTTTTAATCAAAACCTTAATTGAATGCAATGAGAGTTGAAAATAGAAATGTTTAATATCATCTAAGCTGAGCCATACTTTGCATTATATCTTTATATATATATATATATATATATATATATATATATATATATATATATATATATATATATATATATATATATATATATATATATATATATGTATATATATATGTATATATATTTGTTTTATAGATGAGTAAACAAAAATGGAGAATCAAACTGATTCATTCGTCTTCCTTTTCCTTGGACTTTCAGGTGATCCTCAACTACAGATTTTCCTTTTCTTGATCTTTTCAATAATTTTTCTAATTACACTGTTAGGAAACATCATAATAATTTTGATCATAAGAATGGATCTTTCTCTCTCCACACCCATGTATTATTTCCTCACCCATTTGTCCTTTGTTGATATCTGTTACTCTACAGATATTGTCCCTAAGATGTTAATGAACTTTCTTATGAAACAAAAGACAATTTCCTTCACTGGTTGTATTATTCAAATGTTTTTCAGTTTTCTACTAAGTGTTACAGATGTTTTTCTACTTTCAGCAATGGCATATGACAGATACATTGCTGTTTGTCACCCACTTCATTACATAATGATCATGAATAAAGTAATATGTACTTATCTGGTTACAGGAGCATGGCTAATGGGTTTATTATCTGCAACTATAAACACAGTTCCCATATTTGGCTTACAGTTTTGTGGCCTTCGAGAAATTAATCACTTCAGATGTGAACTTCCATTACTATTGAAAGTATCTTGTTCTGACACTTTTCTTAATAATGGGATTCTTTTATTTTCTGTATTGTTTTTTGGACTTGGTTCTTTCTTACCAACTTTGATCTCCTACATTCACATCATGACCAGCATCATGAAGATCCATTCTGCAGAGGGCAGAAGAAAAACTTTCTCCACCTGCAGTTCTCATCTCACTGTGTTGGGTTTGCTATACATGACTGGAATGTCTCAGTACATGAAACCTAGCAGTGTATCTTCCATTACACTGGATGAACTTTTCTCTATTCAGTACAGCATTTTGACCCCCATGCTGAACCCAATTATCTATAGTCTGAAAAATGAGGAAGTAAAGAAGGCACTTAGAAGAATATTTACAAAAAAAGCAAATGCTAGATGATCCTCAAAGTGCATAGCTCAAAAAGTAAATTTCTCTTTCTCTTTCTCTGGCTCTTTTTCTGCTCCATTCTTCTCCTGAACCAGCAACCCTGAAATTTCCTCTCATTGCATGGGGACTCTATCATATTGAAAAATGTTGTCCTTTCTTAATTTCTATTTGTTAATACATTGTACTTTATTTAACTTGTATTTTTTATACAATACAAATTATTAAAATAATAGCAAATTTCAGTTTTCAACCACAGTAATTAACAACTCAAAATCACTAGGATATAATAACTTGGATTGAAGCAGATTCTCATCTTGCTGTTATAAACACAATTTGTTATGACAATTTCAAAGTTTACTTATACATTTATTATAAAAAGGGTGCTTAGACAATCTGTTTTTGAGAATATAGACCTTGAATGACTTTAAATTAAACTTTGATATTGAGAAGTTATGTTCCACACCAGTGACTGAGAATTGATAAAATTCAATATAATATGAGAGCTGTAGAAGTATTCAGAAATGTGTCTAGTGTATTATTGCTGTGAAAATATTGTACTGCTTGAACAGAAGTCAGGACAGCTTTTAGAGAACAAAGTAAAGCTTAGAGTTCCTTATGCATTAGTGTACCATCAACATCACAACATCATCAACTTGTGAAGTTCCTATCAATTTCAATTGTAAATGTTTACATATCTGCAGTAATTCACATTCATTCCAATTCTAAATATTCCATGTGATCTAGGATACTGAAAAAGCTATATCAATATAATATTATAAATCAGGGGTCCCCAACCCCCTGTCCATAGACCAGTACCGGGCCACAGCATGCCAGCAACTGTCCACACAAACAATCAAAGCCCCATCTGCAAGATGGGGGCAGCACACAAAACCATGCACCCTCTGGTCCGCAGAAAAACCTCTTTCCACAGAACCGGTCTCTGGTGCCCAAAAGGTTGGGAACCTCTGTCATAAACCTTTATTTTAAGGATAGTGCTGTTGTATCTAATATAGACAAAGTTATTTTGAAATTTATTTTTAGATCACAGATGAGATTTGTAGTCAAAATAAATCTTCCTGCTTTTTCTGCTGCTTTCTATTGCGAGAATTTGGTGTCAATGACAAAAGATTCTGCAATTTCTTTGGTAAAAAACCTTTTTTCTTTTTCTTCAAAAATATGTTTCATAGTTCAAAACATATTTTTGATAAATGTGTTTCAATGTTCTCTAATTTTTATTGAGCCTAAAAATTTATTTTATGATTTTTGTATAATATAAAAGAATTTTGTGGTGCCAAAAGTTATTTTTCTGCATCATTCACTACCAAATTTAAAGAATGCCCAGAATGATAATTCACTCTGCTCTAGAATTTTTATCAACGATATCCTGTTTCAATTTGCTATACTTTCTATATTTATTTATTTGATTGATTTTTTAAATTATATCTTTAATTTTGATCAACTCAAGGGATCAAACATGCCTCCTATTTTCCCTCCAATAACAAAAGCTAAATGGGTGGAGTTGAGAGAAAAAGAGTAACTTGCTGGCTTCATGCCTAAGGAAAAAACTATAATTCACAGTCTCTCAATTTCTAGCCTGATACCAGACTTTGTTTGTAGCATTATCATATCCCTAGTCTCTCAAATTATTTTGTACACATTCAATTTTTGTAAACAGTACACTAAAAATGTATAATATTAATCTGGTTGTGTTTTCTACTAGACAGTGTTCCACAAAATGTTCACATATAGAAATATATTTATATTTTTTTTTCTACCTGGCTTACATTATGAATAATGAATTATTTGATTTTGTATTTAATCTCTAACAATGTGCAGTAATAATAATAACAACAATAATAACAATAACAACAAAAGCAACAAAAACAACAATAACAACAATAAAAACAACAACAACAACAACAACAACAACAACAATAATAATAATAATAATAATAATAATAATAATAATAATAATAATAATAATAATCTGTAATACTATCAAACATCCACATCTGCCTATCCCAGTTCCTTGGTAAGGACTCGATAGGTAGACAAAATGCCAAATCCAGTCTGAATATCTGGCTGACTGTGAGATGATAATAATAATAATAATAATAATAATAATAATAATAATAATAATAATAATAATAATAATAATAATAATAATAATAATAATAATAATAATAATAATAATAATAAAGTTGGAAGGGACCTTGCAGATCATCAAGTCCAACCCCCTGCTCAGGCAGGTAACCCTATGCCATTTCGTACAAATGGCTGTCCAGTCTCTTCTTTAAAACTTCCAGTGTTGGAGCATTCACTGCTTCTGGAGGCAGGTTGTTCCACTGGTTAATTGTTCTAACTGTCAGGAAGTTTCTCTTTAGTTCTAGGTTGCTTCTCTCGTTGATTAGTTTCCATCCGTTGCTTCTTGTCCTGCTTTCAGGCACTTTGGAGAATAGCTTGACTCCCTCTTTTTTGTGGCAGCCCCTGAGATATTGGAACACTGCTATCATGTCCCCCCTCGTCCTTCTTTTCGTTAAACTAGACATACCCAATTCCAACAACCGTTCCTCATATGTTTTAGCCTCCAGGCCCCTAATCATCTTTGTTGCTCTTCTCTGTACTCTTTCTGTACTCTGTACTCTTTTTTGTGTGTTGATGTTTCTATTCTGTAAAAATAGTCTGCCCTGTGATCAATGTTTCTGTGTTTCTGACAAAAGAAGGAAATTTTCATTATCATGTTTATTACCATTTTTTGAATAATCCTCTGAATTATCTCTTCTGAGTATTGCCTTACCAAATCCTGAACGAAGTATAGTATCTATTCAAATACTCATGCCAATAGTTTTCCTGTCTTTATATATTCTTTGTCCTAGAGCTTCATTTTTTTTTTACATTATTCAGTTTTGGATGCTTAAGATTCGTGTTGATGTACATTTTACTTTCTTTAGCTTTTCCAAAAATATGTGGTAAAGACTGCTGATTTTTGCTTGCTTTTGTATTCTTCAGTTGATTTGTCCATTCTATTCTCAAACAACTTGAAATGGAAACAAAACCCAGATTTCTTTGAAAATGAGTAAAGCAACAAAATTCTAATGATATTTTTCATCATTTGCAAGAATTCACATATACTAAGTTCAAAAAATATTTCTATACACTATTTTTAGGAAGTTAAATTTCTTATTTCAAGTGTATATTTTCAATAAGAGTGTCCTATTGTTTATAGGCACATTTACCAATATTCTCATGTTGTGGTCTTGTAGAGAGGGGATTAGGTCTGCAGCTTTGAAGGTCTCTGGAGGAAGCAAATGATTAATACCAATTGCAGTCAGTTTTCAGAACTGAGACTTATGCATAACCTTGGTTGGGACAATATATCTATCCTATATCCATGAGCTCTCAGTGAGTTTCAATATCATCCATCATGGTATATTTTTGAACAAACCCATTGGGAGGTAATGGTTCTTCAGCAATTTCCTCCTTCCCCTGAAGTCAGTTTCCAATAGTATTGTGGGGTATGTGTGCGTATAGTGGAATGTGCTTTCTCTGCTATATCACCTGTCCGCTTGGGGGGGGGGGTTCGGTGTGTGTGTGTGTGTGTGTTTTGGTTTCTTTTTTCTTCTTTGATGAAAAATTTAGGTGTTTTTTCTCTCAGGTTTTTCTTTCTTTTTTATCCCTTTTTTTAAATATGAAGAATTAATGAGCTCCTCCTCATACAAGCAACCATTCAAGAAATAACTATAAGCCACTGATAATTATTAGAAAGGAGTTTTCCTGTGGGGATATTTTTTTCTTATGGGATACTTTTTTTTTAGATCGCAGAATTTATATTGCATATAGAATGAATAATAATGCCTCAAGAGTAAATTCTGCCAACATGTTATTTTAGAAAAAAAAACCCGTCAGTGATTGATGGGTGTGGATAAATGGAGTGGGAGACATTGTTCAGTCTATACCTTCATGTTTATTTTGAAAGGTAAGGTAAGGTAAGTCTAATCTTTCTGTCAAATTTCTTGCAAATAAATTCAAGTAAATTATTTAATATTGAAAAATCTTCATGATGATGTGTATATTACTAGAATAGTGAGCATTTCTAAACCTAACTACATTTTCACTTTGTTTTTGGTTACAAATGACTAACAGGAAAATGATAATACTTCAGAAAATCTCTGCCTTTCAAAAATTAATGGATCCAATGTGTGCAATTTTTTAAATATTCTATTTTCACATAGCTTTTTCATATTGACTCATTAGATGAGTCTGGTGGATATTTTCAAAATATGCAGGAATTTCTAGGATATATATATGACTCATCACGAGCCTGAGCAAATTTGAGAGAGAGTTGAAAGCAGAACGATTTAATATAATATAAACTGAGTTGTACTTTGTCTTATTTCTCTACTTATATCCTTATTCTTGCTTTACAGCTGAGCAACAAAAATGGAGAACCAAACTGATTCATTGGTCTTCCTTTTTGTTGGACTTTCCAGTGATCCTCAACTACAGATCTTCCTTTTCCTGATCTTTTCAATTATTTTTCTACTTACGCTGTCAGGAAACATCACAATAATTTTGATCATTAGAATGGATCCTTCTCTCTCCACACCCATGTATTATTTCTTGTCTCATTTGTCTTTTGTTGATGTCTGTTACTCTACAGATATTATTCCTAAAATGTTACTGAACTTTCTTATGAAACATAAGAAAATTTACTTCACCAACTGTGTTACACAAATGTTTTTCAGTCTTCTATTAAGTGTTACAGAAGTTTTTCTACTTTCAGCAATGGCATATGATAGATACACTGCTGTTTGTCACCCACTTCATTACATAATGATCATGAATAATACGATATGTACTTACCTGGTTTTAGGAGCATGGCTAATGGGTTTGTTGTGTGCAACTATAAACACAGTTCCCATATTTGGCTTACAGTTTTGTGGCCTTCCTGAAATTAAGCATTTCAGCTGTGAACTTCAAGCATTATTGAAAGCATCTTGTTCTGACACTTTTATTAATAATTGGATTATTTTGTTTTCTGAATTGTTTTTTGGATTTGGTTCCTTCTTACCAACTTTGGTCTCCTACATTCACATCATCACCAGCATCATGAAGATCCATTCTGCAGAGGGCAGAAGAAAAACTTTCTCTACCTGCAGCTCTCATCTCGCTGTGTTGGGTTTGCTATACATGACTGGAATGTCTCAGTACATGAAACCTAGCAGTGTATCTTCCATTACACTAGATGAACTTTTCTCTATTCAGTACAGCATTTTGACCCCCATGCTGAACCCAATTATCTATAGTCTGAAAAATGAGGAAGTGAAGAAAGCACTTAGAAGAATATTTACAAAAAAAGCAAATGCTAGATGATCGTCAAAGTGCAGGAATCCAAAAGTGAATTTCTCTTTGTTTGGAAAACATGGCTCTTTTTTTTTTTTTTTTTTTTGCTTCATTCTGCATGGAAAAGATCTTCCCCTGAAAGACAAACACAGTAACCTGGGGTACACTCTCTTTGCATTGCCACTTTATCATATTAGAAAAGGTTTTTCCTAATATCCTTCTTTTTTGTTAGTGTATTTGTACATTATTTAACCTTTATATTTCTTCTAATTGAAATTACTAACATAACACCAAATTTGAATTTTTAATCATAATAAGTTGTAACCCAGTGTCAATAGGATATAGTAACTTAGATTAAAACAGATACTCATCTTGCTCTTATGAAAAGAAAATTAATTATGATAGTTTCAATGCTTACTTACACATTTGCTATAGAAAGGGTGACTAGCCTGTCATCTGTCAATGGAACAGTGGAACAGCTTGCCTCCAGAAATCGTGGGCGCTCCATCACTGGAGATTTTTAAGAAGAGACTAGACAGTCACTTGTCTGAGATGCTTGAGCAGGGGTTTGGACTAGAAGACCTCCAAGGTCCCTTCCAGCTCTATTCTATTCTAATGTATACCTTAAACTGAGAAGTTATGTTCCCCATTGGTGATTGATATATCCTTTGAGCGA